ACATTCATCTCATCTTCATCTAGATTCAGCTATTATCATAAAAAAGGAACTAATCAGCGAGGTCTGTCTTTGTTGTTTTAGCAAATTTTACCACATGAGAGGATATTACATATTAAACTTTCTAAACTTAATTTACTTGATGATTTCTGACAATGTTTTCAAATTGAGTAGTCTTTTAGGGATTGGTATAAGCTGTTCATGTTATTGAATCAATATACCACTCCAAGGCAAATGTGCAAATCTGCTAACTACCAACTAACAATGTAAGCAATGTTGGTTTTTTTTTTTTTAAGATGAATTTCTCACTCTGTTGCCCAGGCTGGAGTGCAGCGGCATGATCTCAGCTCACTGCAATCTCTGCCTCCCGGGTTCAAGTGATTCTTCTGCCTCAGCCTCCTGAGTAGCTGGGACTACAGGCACATGCTACCACACCTGGCTAATTTTTGTATTTGTAGTAGAGACGGGGTTTCACCATATTTGCCAGGCTGGTCTCAAACTCCTGACCTCATGATCTGCCTGCCTCGGCCTCCCAAAGTGCTGGGATTACAGGCGTGAGCCACTGAGCCTGGCCAGTTTTCTTTAGAAAGCATCAGAGAGCTCCACTCATTGATTCAACAATATATATTGAGCCTCCACTCTGTATTCGGCTAGGTAGTTGGGATATAAACATAAGCAAAACATGGTCCCTCCCCCCAGTATAGTTATAGACTAATATGTATGCATAAGGGAGGCAGGCACATACACAGGTAATTGTAATGCACTCTGTAAGTGCAGTGTTATTAAAATATTCAGAGTTAAAGCTTAAAGAAACCCTGACACTTCTTTTTTTTTTTTTTTTGAGACGGTGTATCACGGGTTTTACCCAGGCTGGAGTGCAATGGCGCGATCTCGGCTCACCGCAACCTCCGCCTCCTGGGTTCAGGCAATTCTCCTGCCTCAGCCTCCTGAGTAGCTGGGATTACAGGCACGCACCACCATGCCCAGCTAATTTTTTTTTGTATTTTTAGTAGAGACGGGGTTTCACCATGTTGACCAGGATGGTCTCGATCTCTTGACCTCGTGATCCACCCGCCTCGGCCTCCCAAAGTGCTGGGATTACAGGCTTGAGCCACCGCGCCCGGCCTGACACTTCTAACTGAATACCACAGTTTCATTTTAAGCAGGCAAAATCCCATTTTACTTTTACCAGTTGTCTGTAAGAAAACTGACTCTTGAAGTATTTGCCTCATGCTTCAGCTGTTTGTGACCTTATCCATTGTATGCTTGATTGTGTCTGAAAGCGCCACAGAGCAGTGACCATGACAGACGGGCGCTCACTCTGTGCCTCACACTTAGTAGTCTGCCCGCTCCTTGAGTTCGCATACACCCGAGGATATTGTAGCCATTTTACCTGTCCTTGAAGAGATCTTCACTAAAGAAGAGGATCGATAATAAGCTAGATATTTTAACAAGTAGTACTTTCCTTCTACTTTCTTTCTTTTGTAACAGAGGTTAGCAGGATTTTTCTGTAAAGGACTAGGTAGTAGATACTTGAGGATTCACCGTTCACACCTTCTCTGTGGCACCTACTCAACTCTGCCCTTGTAGCGGGAAAGCAAACATCATCAATACATAAGTGAGCACAGCCGTGTTCCAATAAAACTTTATTTACAAACCAGAGGGTGGGGCAGATTGGACCTACAGGGCATAGTTTGCCCGCCCCTACTCTATTAGCAGTATTTTTTAAGTCTTGATGAACATTTAAAATTGACTGAAGGGTAGGCTAAGAAGTAACAAGCGTTAAACTTGGGGTCAAGGCACCTGCCTTAAGACCTCAAGGTCTACTGGTTCTTCCATTGCAGCTTTCATGTGATACATGTCAGTGATCTCTTTCAGCTTCTCTATAAAATGGGGATTGGACAACATGACTTCTAATATGACTTTGATCACTGGCATGCTCTGTTTCTGGAAAGACACAGGGGACTAAGTATCAAAAAATGAAATTTTGGTAGGGAAAATTACAGTCTAGTACTAAGGCTTTTAAAAGATACAGTTACATGCAGACACACTGGGGGCGTCCTGGGTTAAAGTGCATAGATGAAAGGTTTGGGGCTTTAGCTGATGACTAGCTCTTTACGAGTCAACAAAGTAAAGTGGTTGCCCCAAAGGCAGGGTAAGTTTAACCCTCATCACGGAGAAAACTGTCCAGGACTTTGTAAGCTCCGTGCTGGGAAGACCTCACATGGAGTGTTGCCATCAAGTCTTTTTTTTTTTTTTTTTTTTTGAGATGGAGTCTCTCTCTGTCACCCAGGCTAGAGTGCAGTCGCATGATCTCGGCTCACTGCAACCTCCACCTCCCCAGTTCAAGCAATTCTCCTGCCTCAGCCTCCCGAGTAGCTGGGATTATAGGCATGCACCACCATGCCCAGCTAATTTTTGTATTTTTAGTAGAGACAGGGTTTCACCATGTTGGTCAGTCTGGCCTTGAACTCCTGATCTCATGATCCGCCCACCTTGGCCTCCCAAAGTGCTGGGATTACAGGTGTGAGCCACCACGCCCGGCTGCCATCAAGTCTTTACTGCCACCAGGGCAGAGAGGGAATTCTTATCCCTGCCCTGAGAGAAGGTTGAAGTAAGGGGCCATGCTCAGGAGTGGGAAATGGAGAGAAGGAGGCAGAGGCCAGGAGACAGAAACTGCTAAACCTAGAGCTCCTATGGAAAATGACTTTTCAAAACGTTTTATATCTTTAGGATCTAGATCAGTACCCCATATATAATCAGCACACAGTCATTTGTTGAAAGCAAGCCTCTGAGTATGTAAAGAACATTCAAGTGGAAGAAGTATTTCGGTGGAGTCACAGGCCAGAAGTAGGTCAGCGGGAGGAAGCCACAGAGGCTGCCTTCGTCACAGCAGGAGGAGGGACAGGTAGTCTGTGTGCGCCTGCACTGGGGAGGCAGCTGGGGTACTGCTTCGGGAGTCCTCAGATTAACCTGAAGGTAGTCCCACTAACGCTGGGAGCCACCTGTTATCATGTTATATTCAGCTGCCCCAGAGAGCAGACCCATCATGTCACCTACAGCCTCTTTGACCCTGTGAGTCTGCTGTGTGCATTTTTCTTTACGTATAGGTTTCCTGTCAGCACAGTGTGGGTGTGAGGATTTTAATACCACTGGTGATGTGTTAAATGATTTTAACTACTACAAAGACTTTTTTATTGTAATATTCATGTATTCATGTTAAGACATATTGGAAAACAATAGGGCAAACATCTCAAAACTTCATAAAGAGTGTGTAAGACAAAGTTCTGTTTAAAGAGCAAATAGATTTAGTCTACAGCAGCCATACCACGCTGAACATGCCCGATCTCGTCTGATCTCAGAAGCTAAGCAGGGTTGGGCCTGGTTAGTACTTGGATGGGAGACCGCTTGCGAATACTGGGTGCTGTAGGCTTAAAAAAAAAAAAAGCAAATAGATTTAAAATTGATTTAATGAAAAACATTAAATTAAATAGTACATATATATTCAGATATGACAAAAATTGGGAAAGTAGCATGAATAGGTGAAGTCTGTGCTGTGTAAACCATTTGTATTTATCATCTGCCTATAGGATCCTTTTTCTTACTGCTGTTCTTTCCCCATCACCCGGGCTGGAGTGCAGTGGCATGATCATAGCTCATGCAGCCTCAAACTCTTGGGCTCAAGAGATGCTCCTGCCTCAGCCTCCCAAGTAGCTGGGACTACCAGCACATGCCACCACACCTGGCTAATTTTTTCTTATTTTTTGTAGAGATGGAGTCTCACTGTGTCGCTATGTCTCAAACTCCTGGACTCAATGGATCTTCCCTCCATGGCTTCCCAAAGTGCTGAGATTACAGGCATGAGCCGCCACGCCCTGCCTAGGATCCATTTTTTTTCTCCCATCACACAATCCTAACACTGGATGAAACTCAGATTTTTTTTTTATTATTAAAAAAATGCAATGATGCCCACAGAAAAGAATTCAAAAATAGGAAAAAATAAGATAGCAGGAGAAAAAAGGAAGAAGGAGAAGAAGAGTCTTTCATAATCCCTCCTCCACCCCAACTTCTCAGCTGCCTTCATTCCTTTTGAGCATTCCTTCCCTATCCTTGAGCCCACGTGTATACTTTTTATCATAGGGTCGAAGTACTTTATATTTTTTATTTTAAATTTGGTATATCACATTGCTTTACTGCAAACTCCTCCTTACTTTGCATTTTTTGTTCTCAGCATTCTTGGCCACTTGTCATTCCTCAAACCTAACACAATCTTTTCTTATACTTCAACTTGACCCTGACATCTTTGTAAGTAAAGTAGAATTTATACGGTAGCTCAGGTGTTAGCGTTTCAGCCTCTTTCTCCAAATGCCTTCCTTAGGAAGCTTTAGGCACCCTTATGTTTCTTCTCTGTAATTTTCTTTGTGTTTTATAATTTAAAGTTTTCATTTGTACCCTATCACTCAATTTTTTGCTTCTGATCTCCCTTGGGGGACTTGTGTCTGTAATGTCTTATCTCGAATTCACAGAAGTATCTTCCTTCTCCCATTTAAAAAGGTTTCAGACAGCCATGAGGACTCCATGTCCTGTGAGCATATATAGCTGATTCCTTCTGGTTTTACCCTTTTAAATCTTTCTCATTGTGCTCCCTTTTTGTATAAGCTCGCCCTGACATTTGAAAGATTTACCTATTTATACATATTTACATAATCAAAGTATTAGCATATTGCATATTGTATGTATTAGAATATTGCCTATTGTATGCCTGTTGTGTGATGTGTGGCTTAGTTTTAGATATGCTCCACATAAATGTCCATTTTACTAATCTGGGTCAAGACACAATGAGATCAGAAACTATGATCATGCAGTTTGTTTTGGACAGCTCTGGTATGTGGACAATTAAACTTGTGATGAGCATCCTGTGGAAACTTGAGCTCTGGAGAAAAAGTGCTCAATATCTTGAAAAAAAAGTAACAGATTATTCTTTTTGTGGGTTTTTGTTGCAGGCTGGATTACAGCGGACCTTCTAGAGAGTTTTTCTTCCTGGTATCCAGAGAACTCTTTAACCCATATTATGGCTTATTTGAATATTCAGCCAATGACACATACACAGTACAAATAAGTCCTATGTCTGCTTTTGTAGACAATCACCATGAATGGTAAGTATTTTTCCCCCATAACTTTTCTTCAGGTGATTTTCTGTGCTATTAGTTTTTTTATAGAACCCACACTTAAACATTAAAACATTTTTTTCCCTTGGGTAAAAGCATGTTTTCAGTTAAATACCTCATTTGACTCTTGTTTTTATTGTCAAATTTAAATACACAGGCAGTCTCCAAGCTACGACTAGATCTGTTGATAGGTGGAAATTGATCTGTTCCATAGATCAATTTAAGTAAGCTGGGTAGAATTCAAAAGGTATTTCCCATTGCAAGAAAGAGATGATGAGTTTCTGGTGAGATCCCTATATTCCTCCCTGCACCTTTGGGTGCCTGTGAGCTCTAAGCTGGAGTGGGGGTGAGGTGGGGAAGGGCTTGACCCAGAGATCAGACAGCTTCTGGAGTAGCCCGTGGGGAAGTGACTGCCGTGGGAGGAGGAGAAGGGCAGCTGGAACTCTGGCTGGGGCAGTGGTGCTCTAGTGGGCAGTGGGGCTGGTGGGGTGACCTGGGGATACTGATAGTAGAAGGGCAGGAATGGGGAGTCACAAGCAGTGGCCACTCACCTTATTAGCCATTTGAAGTTTGTAACCAGTTTTTGCCTCTTTCCTAATTTCTCACACAAAATCAAGGAAACCGATTTAGGGTTCCCATCTGAAGATTATTTATGCTGAAAATCCCAAATTACGCTCTTTCCAAATGTCCTTCTATCTTTTTAAAATCCCTATGTTTATAGACTTTAAATATTTGTATAACCCCTGTTTGCTTATTCCTTTCTTTTTCCCTGATTGCAACAAAGGAAAGAATATGAGCAAGATTCATGGAAAAAGCTTATTTGAATCATGAGATTAATATTGGTGGGTGGAGAGAGTTAACTTTTAGGAGTTACTCTTCAAATTAGCTTCTGTTTAGCTGCAATTTGGAGTCCTTCTAACTGTGACTATTATAGTGCTAAATAAATGGAAATAAAGCGAAACCACACTGCTGGACATTGTTCTTAAAACAGCTGCCTAATACTAAAATTACAAATTTACAGTACGAATCTCAGTATTGATTTATTCTTTTGGGAGGCATCAGACTTTCAAAAACCTAGAAACTTGAATCCTTTTGAAAGAGAAAGTAAGTTTACGTCTCAGGCAGCAAATCCAGTCATAACAAATATATTTAATAAAGTTTCCAAAGTGATTCAGAATAGAATCAAGCCTTGAAATTTTAGAGAACAGAATGTCCCAGAAGGAAACTCCCCCAAATGTCCATGTGCATAATTCTTGAATGGTGAAAGTATCAGGAATGGGACTTGAGAGAGAATAGGGATAGTAACTTTCTTGATCTGAGACAGGGCTTTTCCTCAGAAGAGAACTACTGAGTTTGTATTAGAGAAATCCTGCTAATATTCATGCACACACACTAGGAGGGGATAGCATTTTCCTCACCTCCAGAGGTCTCATCTGTCAACATCTCTTAGAAGTGGTTTCAGGAAATTTCTCTGAAATGCTCACAGGAGTTTCATGAGTGTAGGGTGCTACATTGTTGACATGGAGTGAAGGGGGAGCAGGTTCTCTAAATATGAGTGAAACCAATTCTTCAGCAAGTAGGTATGAATTACTGGCTATATTAGCCCATGCTTGCATTGCTATAAAGAAATACCTGAGACTGGTAATTTATAAAGAAAAGAGGTTTAATTGGATCAGGATTCTGCAGGCCGTATGGGAAGCATAGCACCCAAATCACTGGGCTTTGGGGAAGGTCACAGAGAGCTTTTTTAATCATGATGGAAGGTGAAGGGGAAGCAGGCACATCACATGACAAAAGCAGGAGAGAGATGGAGAGAGGGAGAGTTGAGGGGATGTGCCACACACTTTTATATGACCAGATTTCATGAGAACTCACTATAACGAAGACAGAGATAGCACCAAGCCATAAGGGATCAGCTTCCATGATCCAACCACCTCCCACCGGGCCCCACCTCCAGCACTGGGGATTGCAGCTCAACATGACATTCAGGCAGGGACAACTTACACAAACCATATCACTGGCCTGATGAAGACACCGCCCATGGTGCATACAAACTCTCATCACCTAGTCGGCAATTAATATTGGAAAAATTTAGATGGTTAGAGCTGGAAGGCATTCCAGAAAGCAGATGGAGCCACCTAGAAACTGCTCCGTGACATGTGAACCATCTCATGCATTTCCTTCACAGGTTCCGGTTCAGTGGTAGGATCCTTGGTCTTGCACTAATACACCAGTATTTGTTGGATGCCTTCTTCACACGGCCCTTTTATAAGGCTCTTCTCAGAATGTAAGAATATTTTTACTGCTCGTGTAATTAGCATGTAAAAATGCAGCATTTACTTTATTGAAAAAATTCTTCTGTCAAGTCATTGTTTATCTGTTAACAATCTCAAATCTGTTGTTATTAAATCTAATAGTGGTTTAGATTTCTGAAACTAATAATTTCAACTACGATTCCTGTGTTTTTCCTGCCTGTGACCTATTTAGCCCCCAGAGTTTTAGTTTTGCTCTACCCTAAAAAATTTATTCTCATTTGTTGCAAAACGTGTGTCTTCAAAACAATTGTACTTCCAACACAGCCCTGGAATTCCTGTGGTGTTAATGCAGATAATTAATAGAATAGTTGTGGGTTAGTGACTCAAAGCCCCCCGTCTCCTTTATGAGATACATTTCATGTTTGGCTTGATGCAAATTTTCAAATATTTACTCCTCATTCAAATCTTCATTCCCCTTTGTTTTGGTTTTATTTTTTCTTTTTTTTCAGGGGTGAACAGTGCCATATTTTTTTTAAACTTTCCCTATGCCCATAGAAGATGAAAATTCAGCATTCACAGAACTTTTTCTTCATTGTTAATGAAAGATTGCAATTATTGTAAAATGTAGGGCTAATAGTTTCTGTCCTATAATCAGCAGCTGTTTACAAGGCTGAACAGAAGGCAACTGTCTGTGGGGTAGTTATCTCAAATTTGCAATGAGAAAGCACTGCATTATCAATTGGCTCTGTCCAGCCCATTCCCTAACTGAGGCCATGCACCACCTTACTGTAAAATGGAAGCCCAGACTTCAAGTGAAAGCAAACAAAATGCTTCTTGTGGGTCCTTGGGAGGGTCAGGAGGAAGATTTTGCATTCCTCCCTGTCGGTGTCTTCATAGCTGTGGCCATTTTCTGTCTCTTTGGTTCTTTGTGGCCCACTTTGCATCTTCCCATTTCATTGCCTTATCTCTTATCTTCTTATTTAAGCTTCCTGAAAGAGGATTCTATACTGGCTGTCTACACTTACCTGAAATTCACACCCTCAGTACACTTCAGCCTGGTTTCTTTCCCACCTGTGGAGACATTTAGAGAATACTTGTTAGTCCGTATCTTATTGGATCATGCTGCTGCTTCTGACACTGTGTACCACTCTCCCCCACCACCATTTATTCTTGGATCTTTCCTCCAGAGCTGGCATCTATGACACTTTACTTTGTGGGTTCGTTTTTTAACTTTTCTGTCTCTTTTGTGCGCCTCTTCTGATTTGCCCTTAAACTTTGGTGTACCCGAAGCTTCTATCATCAGGTCCCTGCTTTTCTCACACAGTGTGCTCTCATGGGGGAATTTCTTCGCCTGTCTTATCTCCTCTGACTCCCAACTCCGTACTCTCAGTCTTGATCTCCCTTAAGGTGTAGCTTCACTTGGTCAACAGTCCATCAAATACCTCCACTCAGATGTCTTACAAGGACCTTAGAATCAACATGGTTAAGACTAAACTCATCAAGTTTGGCTACCTAAAAGCATACCTTCTCCCATGTGCCCGGTTACAGTTAATAGTACCACTGATCTCAGGTCACTCTGAGCAGAAATTGGGAGTTGCCCTTAAACAGCGATGACAAATACACATTACATGTTCTACTCTTCCCCATCTCTACTCCACCCTATCATTCCCAGGATAGAGTTCACAAATCACTTGTACTTTTTCCCACTGAACTCATTGTGGCTCCGAAACCTTTTTAACTTACAGTACTTAAGTCTGGCAATTAATAACAGTTGGTTTTGACATGAGTTCATTTGTCACCCCTATTTTAGACATCCTTCTTTATACTCCCCCAGTAAAACCATTTCCTGATTTCTACGTGTTTGCCTCCTAAATGGTTTTCAATTTCATTTTTTTCTCTCCAACCTTAATAACCCAGCCCTAGTTAAGGCTCTTATCCTATTTTTGCCACATTGCTGTAGTGCTCTATTAATTGGTCTCTACCCTCTAATGATAACCACCCCTCATCCCACCCCATTTTAAAGAATCCTTTACACTGGGACTTCCAGAGGAACGGTTTCTATTTTGCAATTCACGTCTGATCATGTCATGCCTGTCTTTAAATCTTTTGGTAGTTCTGAATCGCCAGCCTCCTTAGGGTGACATTTAGGCCTGCTCCCCTTCTGGCCTCATTCTCTGTCTTGAGGTTAACTCTCTCAAACTGCTCATATGCTTGCAGTTTTCTGTACACTTCCATGAATATGTATTTTGTTCATCTTATTCTCTCCTTCTCCTTTCTCTTTCCCCTTCTCCTCCTTCACTTATTCCTTTTCACTTCTTTTGCTTTTAAACATCCTGAAAGATTTAATGTAAGCATCATCTTCTGCAAAAAGCTGTTCCTGAATCTCTCGAAGAGAATGCCCCTCATCTTTGCTCTCACAGCTCCCTGTAGCTACCTTATCTTTTGTTAAATTGAAGTGCGACATACATTTTAAAAGTACATGAATTTTAAGTGTTACCAATCTTATGTTATCACTTATCACTTTATATTATCTTATTTGTGTACCTGGCTCCCCAACTGACCCATTAGCTCCTGAGGTAGTGACTATGCATCAAGCAGCTATTCAGGTGTCTGGTACATACTTGATGCCTAATGAATGTTCAGATTGAACTTGAAATTGGGCCCTAAGGGGAGTGCAATTTCAAAACAGCTATAGCAAATCAATGACTGCTGCTGTATAACAGGGCCGTGGAACAGTAACCACACCTCATGTAGATCCTCTTTCTGCAATTAAAAAAAGTGGAGGAGAAATATAGAAAGCCGCTCTAATTTAAGACAGATTCTGTGGCTTACTGTTTTCAGAATAAGAACTATGCAGAAAAAGGGGAGGTATGTGAACATGAATCACAGAATATAGTCTTTAAACAAAAAAACAAAGTTAAAATATACTATATAAATATATAAATAATTTCAAATGAGGATAACAGTATTTTAAGGTAGTATAATATAGCCAGAAAGAGTACTGGATCCAAATTATTCACCCGAGTGCCAGTTCCTGATCTGGCATTGATGATGGATGACTGCAGATGGCACTCATTCTTTGCACCTCCAGTTCTGCTTCTATAAGGAAAGAGGCAGGCTCCATGATTCCTGTGGCATATTATATATTTAGGACTTTCTAATTTTATAACCAATTTCTGAATTATTTCACTGGTTTAATTACTAGACTTGGACTAAGAACATTCTAGAAGCCACTGCCCATTTAGTGGCTCTTGTTTTTCTCTTTAATTCTTAATTTCTTTCCTTATGACTCTGGGTTTTTGCTAACAGCCATGCCTACATATTTGTTTCTGCCTGTTTGTCATCTAGTTTGTGTGACCTGAGTGATCTAGAATACCTTGATGAAGAGTTCCATCAGAGCCTGCAGTGGATGAAAGATAATGATATCCATGATATCCTGGACCTCACGTTCACTGTGAACGAAGAAGTATTTGGGCAGGTCTGTGTATCTGCACACCTCGTGCCTAAGTGTGGTAACTGAAGGCTATTGATGAGTGAAGAATTAATTCCATGGCTAAGATCAGATGCTTATTTATTTGTGGTTTGTTGGGTAATTTAAACTCAAGATCACACACAGTTATAATAATTGCAGTTATAAAGGTTATAATTAGTGCCAACTGCAGATTAAGATGCTGTAAATTACAGATGATGATAACCGTTTATGTTGTAAGCAATCTTCTTTTTATTTCCAACTAAAATATCCCCAAAAATATGAGAATGTACCTTATATAGAATACAGTTTTTTGAAGTCCACCCTATTGAATTTTTTAATTGGCATTTATAGAATTGAGGCTGGGCATGGTGGATCGCACCTGTAATCACAGCACTGTGGGAAGCTAAGGTGGGAGGGTGACTTGAACCTAGAAGTTCAAGACCAGCCTAGGCAACATGGAGAAACCCTGTCTCAATAAAAAATACAAAAGTTAGCCAGGTATGATGGCACACAGCTGTAGTCCCAGCTACTCAGGAGGCCAAGGTGGGAAGGTCACCTGAGCTGGGGAGGTTGAGGCTGCAGTGAGTCTAGATCATGCCATTGTACTTTAGCCTGGGGGACAAGAGTGAGACCCTGTCTCAAAAACAAAAAAAAAGAAAGAAGAAAGAGAAAGAGAAAGAAAGAAAAAAAGAAAGAGAGAAGGAAAGAGAAAGAAAGGGAAGGAGGGAAAGAAGGGTGGGAGGGAGGGAGGAAGGAAGGAAGGAAGGAAAGAAGGAAGGAAGGAAGGAAAGAAGGAAGGAAGGAAGGGAGAAAAGGAAAGAAAAAAGAGCCAAAATTTATTTTTTTGAAGCTAAGGGAAGAAAAACAATATTTTGGGGAAAATTTGAAAATATAATATATTGATTTTTTTTTCAAAATTGGAGGAAGAGTAGGGAAGATATTTCTTCCAGAAATTATATACTAGTTTATAGGAAATATTCTTATTTAGGCATTAATATTTAGCTGCTTTTTTGAATTCCATGTGTTTTGAAAAAGCAATTTAACATTCACTTGACTATAATTCTGCTTCCTTAAAGTAGATCTTTAGATATAGTCGATTGTGCGAAATTTGTGAAAATAGGTTTCGTCAAACATTCAAATAGTAGCAGGCTTGTATCTGGAGCCAACTCATCTGCATTTTAAAACTTAACTTGTAGTACCAGCAATATGTATTTTTTTAATTACCAAAGCTTTCAAGCATCAGCTCAATGCCTAATTTTTCCTAAGTGCATGCGCTCCGTGAGTGCCTGGCGCTTCACCTCCAGCTTGTGGGATGCACCTAGGGCAGGGCTGGGACAGGTAGCTGGCTGATTTCAGCTCATTGTACTTTACAAGTGTAGACTGTTTCTGCTGTATTTACTGTTGCTCTTTCTATGTGAAAAGTTCAGTATTTTTCCCCATATGTTTCAAGAACACCAAAAAAAGCTTAATTCATTTTTACAAGAGATCATTGAAATAAATGTTATGAACTGAATGTTCAGCTCACTGCTAGTAATGTTCTTACAGCATCAAGAGTATTGCTTTATGGTCATTCTTTTTGTTTTTCAATCTCAGATAACTGAACGAGAATTAAAACCAGGGGGTGCCAATATTCCAGTTACAGAGAAGAACAAGAAGGAGTACATCGAGAGGATGGTGAAGTGGAGGATTGAGAGGGGTGTTGTACAACAAACAGAGAGTTTAGTGCGTGGCTTCTATGAGGTAAAGATAATCAGCAGTAGCAGGAGTTTGCAGTCTGGTATCAATGAGGCTACAATCCATCTTATTGCACTTCACAAGTGTAGACTGTTTCTGCTGTATTTACTGTTGCTCTTTCTATGAGAAAAGTTCAGTATTTTGCCCATATGTTTCAAGAGCACCAAAAAAAGCTTAACTCACTGTTACAAGAAATCACTGAAATAAATGTTATGAACTGAATTCAAGTAGCATTTGTTGATTTAATGCCACTAGGAAACATTTAAGCCATCCATCTTTTGCTTAGATACGGGTAATCAAATCTTATGCTTGCTATGTGAAATAATTATATCTGAAGGTCAGAATGAGTTGGCATGTATTTCATGTGACTTTTTCTGTAGAAACACTAGATATTTCCCTAAAAGTAGATGGGACCTAGATGAATCAGCAGTCAACTGTGAAACAAAAATTCTGTCAAGGCAAATCTCATCAACCTTATACTAAAGAATACCTTATATTTGTAGCGTTACAGGTTTTCAAGTGCCAACACAAGGTAACACACATATTATTCCTGAAACTCCGTATGTCCTCTTTTCTAAGGTTTAATTACAGCTGGTATTTTTCCAGGCTCTTAAGCCATGCCTTGTACTCTTCTTATTCCACAGGTGGTGGATGCCAGGCTGGTATCTGTTTTTGATGCAAGAGAACTGGAATTGGTCATCGCAGGCACAGCTGAAATAGACCTAAGTGATTGGAGAAACAACACAGAATATAGAGGAGGTGAAATTTGATTTATAGATGGCTAGATTTTAAATTTCAAATTAAAGGAAGGCATGGCTCAGCTTGCCAATAGAACATAGGACAGGCAAAAGCACTTGTGCTGTAATCTTAGTTCTGATGTGGACTCCCTTGAGACCTTAGGCAAGGAACATTCTCTTCTTTTCTAAGTTACTTCATCTGTCAGATGGGAGAAGGACTGTTTACACACCATCAAAGGATGTCATAACTCTTAATTGTTGGGGAGGAAATGTGACCATAAGAACATTAATTAATTACTTTATGATGTTGTCAGTGAAACACCATTGAGCTAACATCCAGCTAGTCAAACTCCACCTATTTCATTTTGTTTCTAAAACTTAAAAAAGCACACCCTTTGAGCTTCCTAATCAGCACAGTTTTCTACTGTTCACCACACTACTGACCAGTTGTAATTCATAGTCAGAACACTTGAGTGGAATAAGATACAGTTCCCAAAATACAACATTATTGGAGAAGTTCTAAATTCAAACATGAATTTCAAGTGAAAAGAAGACTATAGTAAGATTAATTAAAAACTGTACTATCTGACACTTCACCAAATGGGAAGCTTTAAAAGTGACATTTCTGCAGATTAGTACAAATTATCAATTAGTAACTGGGACCAAAGCCATTGAAATTTGAGTGTTAAAGCAATACTTTGCAAGCGACCTGATGGTAACCCAGAGTTAATGCTTTATTATATAATTTTAAGCAAAGAATACATTTTCTGAAATTTATCACTGTGTTAGAAAGCCTTCAGAAATTCATGACAAATACCAGTTGTTTTCTGATTTGGGTTTTGTTTTTTAACTCAAAGTTTAAGAGGTTAGAAGTAGTTCTGAACGTGGAGAATGAAAAATACAAACTTAACATCACCGAATTAGTCACTTAACAGAATAAATTGAGAGCTGAACCGTTCTTCAGTTTTCTCTAAGTTGAACCAGGTATATATTTTTAAAAAGTAGTTTTAAAAGTTTGGATTAAAAAAATGCCTTAACATTTGCTAAATTGCTTTTGGTTATGCCTGTGCTTGCCTCTTCCAGCTCATCCCTGCACCACAGGCTGGCCTTCCTCATACATTTAATCTGAAGGGCTGTATTTAATTGCAGTTCCCATTGCTGCGATTTTCTGAAGTCCAGTTGCTGAAATAAGTCTTTTCCAATTTACCCTATGTATCATCTATGTATGGCTTTGGTTATTATAACTTTTTTAACCCATCGATTTTTACTCAGAGCACAATTTCTCTGACATGCTACATAACTTACCTTTTACCATGAGTATTATTAGTTCATTGTCTCACTCTGTTGCCCAGACTGACTGGAGTGCAATGGCGCGATCTCGGCTCATTGCAACCTCCACCTCCTGGGCTCAAGTGATTCTCCTGCCTCAGCCTCCCAAGTAGCTGGGATCACCGGTGTGTGTCACCATACCTGGCTAATTTTTGTATTTTTAGTAGAGATGAGGTTTCACCATGTTGGCCAGCCTGGTCTTGAATTCCTGCCCTCAAGCGATCACCCACATCGGCCTCCCAAAGTGCTGGGATTATATGCATGAGCCACTGCACCCAGACCCAGGAGATTCTAATAGCAATGCTTTAATGGAATCAGCCATTTTTGTATTTCCATGGCATAAAATTTTATTCACTAAATCTGACTAATCAAGGACCTGTTTCTATGGTTATTGTAAATCTTATCAAATAAAATCTTTGGGAAAGAGTAGAAAAATGCTGAGATCCTCAGCTGCCATGTTTGCTCACCCAGCTACTTGGCACTGAATAAAGAAGCGGCTGTGTGGCTGCCACCTGCCATATGTTCGCACACCAGCTGCTAGGAGAGAATACGATGAGACACATTGACTCTTCCTCCTCCAAAAGGTTTGGCACAAATAGCAAAAGGGAAGCAGAAAAGGGCTAATTCATAAGGTAAAAAATCTTTAAAGCTACAAAGAGCCAGTGTGCTTCTTTTTTAGATGAGAAACTTCTCAGTACCAAATTGCTAGTCTTTACCAAAGTCTGGGCATGGGCCATGTGTCCTCATGTCCAATCCAGTTTTGATCACCCTTCCCTTCAATTCTTTTTTTCTCCAAAGGGGACTAAACATAACTGATGAAATAGTAAACAATACGGTGAGATTCCTCCAAAATCCTACAACTACTGAAATGTGAGGAAAAAATTGAATTAAAATAATTTCTACCCACCTGCTATTCTGGACTACCAACTCAGAATTAAAGTAGCATTTGTGTCCATTAACTAGGTCTGTTCATTGGTTTGAAACACTAAATCCTTGTTAGCCTTGTCTCTGAATTTTTTTTTTCACTGAAAGATTTTTGGAATTTACCACCACTGCCCATGAAATGATTCCTTTGACATTTTCTCAAATTCTACTAAAGTATGGAATAAAAGTAAAATTAAGTTGGTGATTATTTAGGATTTATTAAAGGAATTAAAGGTCACTTTTCCCTGTAGTAAATCAATGTGAAACTAATTTGATTTTAAAGTATGACTATTATAGATAGCTTTAAAGAGCACTTGCAATTATGTATTTCTTTCTATAAATTATTTAGTTAGTGTGTCTCCCCTCTAACAGAAGCCCTGGGAGGGTTTTCTTTGCCATTATTCTCCCAACAGTTGTTGGCATAGAGGCATTTGAAAATTATTTCTCATGTGAATGACTGAAAGAGTTAAGTATTTCCAGTAACAACTGTGATATTTTACAGAAATGCTATGGTTAAAATAACTCATTTGTTGTTCTTCTCTTTACTAGTTTCATTTAGTGACCACTAAATGAAAACAGAGGCCTCTTGATTTCACTTAGCATTGTTTTTGTCTAACTTTTGACACTCATATGATCATATATACCGTGTTATTCCTTAGTCTTAAAGTTATAGACAACTTTTAAAGAATCCAAGAGGATGATTTATGTCTGGGAACTCTTTTGTGTCACGTATCTTGGTGGCTTAATATAGAAGAGTCAAAGTAACACGGGCTTTTATTATTGGTTTGGTAGGATACCATGACAATCATATTGTAATTCGGTGGTTCTGGGCTGCAGTGGAAAGATTCAACAATGAACAACGACTAAGGTTGTTACAGGTAAGATGCCATTTTTAATCTTTTAAATATATAAATATGATTATTGTTGGAAAGTATGCTTTTAATAACTGCTAATTATTCTCCATAAATACATACCATGTGTATCTGGAAATGTAGGATACACCATTTCTAGACTCCTAATTGCATGGTTATGTGACTCCATGGCTATTCAGAACATCCCCAGCCAAGTTAAGGCATTTCATCAGAATTGTAGAGAAGTGTCAAGTCCAGACCAAGAATCCCAGTAACAGCATCTGCCTTCAGGACAGTTTTGTCCCTTCAGCAAGAGGCACCCAGCATACCCAAAGTGCAGGCCAGCATCCCTAGCAGCAGAAAGAAATGATCTTCAATCCTTTAAAAAGGGATGCAGTTAGTTGATAAACAGTCCTTTCTTCTCTTTCATCTAACTTTCCACAAATTTGAGAAAACAGTGACATTCAAGAACACTGAGAAAACAAACTTTTTTTTTATTTGTGGTGTTTACGGTCATGTAGGACAATCGCTGGTTGGTTGCAGCTAAAGAAATACCAGACATGAGGAAGCCTCTGGATGCTCAGGCAGAGCCTTATAAGAACTCTGGATCTTAGCTTCTTTGGGTTAAGGGCCTGGGCCTCAAAATTGCAGGCCCAGACATTCTCTTTTTTAAATTCGTCTGACATTGATCAGGGACTGATGCTAAGTAGACTCAGGTTAATTGATATTAACGGAGACTCTTTATTCATCTATAGTGGGAAATGTGCCTGGTTTGAACTTCTGAGCGGGTCAGCTGCATCAGGCGCTTTCTTTTCTACAAACCCTCCATACCCGCTTTCCCTTTACTGTGCACAGCCCTTTCTTAGTATTCTCTTCTGGCTCTGTGTCAGAATTGTGTTGTGGTTATTCCACGCCTATGAAGTTTTGTCTTCAGAACTCTCCTGCCTACTCTTCTTCAGGAGTTCTGCCCGTGAATGACGTGATGCCTTTAATGGCTGTTGGTCTCTGGCTTCACCTTCTCCTTTTGTTTTCTTGGCTTGACAGTTTGTTACAGGCACATCCAGTATTCCCTACGAAGGATTTGCTTCTCTCCGAGGGAGTAACGGCCCAAGAAGATTCTGTGTGGAGAAATGGGGGAAAATCACTGCTCTTCCCAGGTAAAATATAAAATAACATTTCTTTACTGTCACAATGTTTGGGGGAGACATTCGTTTGTGTATATATTGATTAATTACTGCTTTTATGCTAAAGGTTTGGGAGAGTGGAAAAAGCTTTTAGAATGAAATTCCCCCTGATAACCTTTCTAAATGAAAGGGAAAAAAAGATCTCTCTGGTCACACTTAAAATACATGCATCCATATCTTAAAATACAAAACGCAACAAAAGCAAAGCATTTGTTAGCATCAGTAAAGCCACATTGGTTATCATGCTTGTGGCTTATGATGTGGCTCTACTCTCGGTGTTTCCAGAAGCTTGGGTTTTAACTTTATAACTATTTAGAATCCCTTCATTAAAAATTATCGTTGTAGTTTCTAAAGAACATTAAATAATGTGGATGTGCTCTAGATCTCTGTAGCCTGTATCATACATGTCTTAATTCCATGTTCTCTGCATTGCATTCTCATTCATAGTAAGATCACATATTTTCTTAAGGTAGAACAAAATGCTTTGCCGTTGCTGCTAATAAAAGCAAAAGAACTGACCCTTTTGCAGTTCATAAGTGTGATAATTGGGTGTTCATGCGAATATGTGAGATGCTGCCACCTCAAACCTTATTATGACATCTGCACATTACCCATCTGACATGACAAAGAAAAGCAAGGACTAGTAAGGTAGTATTTGTAAAGACAAAAAGTGTTTGAGATTGAATGGAGAAAACTGGAGCTGGAGCAACGGAAAAAAGAGCAGATGAACAAAAAAGGAACGAAGGAAAATTTGTTTTAGAATTCTTTTATCCAATTAGTAGTAATACTGTAGCATTTTTAAGGTAAAAAGGACATGAAATTGCCTTTAACTTTACTAATAATACAACTGTACTCTAGAGAGATTAAATGATGCTAGGTACCCCAAGATGTTAGCCTAAGTTGAAGTATAGATGACTTTGAGAACTGTTTTCTTGGTGATATTAGGTGATATTTGTGATATTATACAAGGTGATATTAGGTACGCAAGTGATATTAAGTATCCCAGATGTCATCTGTTTCTTTAAGTACAAGCAACTGAGCCATCTGTTATCAAGGTTTTCTTCGAATTAGCAACTGAAAGATGCCAGTTCTTAAGAACTGTATTGTCAGCATCAACAGATAAGAAAAGTGGGTGCTGAAAATGCAAATGGAGAGAACGATAAATAATGACCCCCTCAAGGGCTTGCCTGAGCCTCCATCGCAGCCTATGAATAGGCACTGCATCCAGACACCTAAGTATTACTTGGCACATTTGATTTCCAAATCTGGGAGACTGTGATTTCATTATTTGAAGAACTAGTTCATTTTATTTATGCTTGGATAATGAGTTTTCTCCCCTTCAGCACATAAATTAGCAGATTTAGACTATCTGAATGAGGCTTTTTACTCTACTGAGAAACTCTTTAAGAATTTGCACTGAAGAAGAAAAGGGCAGATTAATGGTCACCTTTTTGTTAAAATCTATTTCTGTCAAGCCATTAAAGTATATGGAGTAAAGTGTAACAATAAGCAGTTATGTCAACTGTTCATATTTAATCACTGTAATTTTCACCAAACCCGGTGGGCAGAGACAGGTAATTTGATATAGAGCTGGAGCTTTACCTTCAGAGAGACCTGGGCTCAATGCCACCTATGTTACTTACTTGCAGTGGGGTCTTGGTGAAGTTGCATGATCTTTCTGAGTCTCTGTTTCCTCATCTACCTTGTGATTTTGAAAGTCTGAGGATTATCTGAAATCATTTATGAAAAACACTTAATACTGTCTCTCACCATGAGTAAGCATTTAGTCAGTGATAGCTGCCATTGTGATTTCTGTCACCATCATTTGTAATTCATATCGGGCGGGAGATTTGCATATTGGATAGAGGACAGGGGTAAGAGTTAGAAGACCTAGGTTCTAGTCCCACCTCTGCCGCCAGCTAACTTTAGGACCTTGAAGATCAATTCATCTTTGAGCCTTGGTTTTCTCATACGTAACAGGCCAGGAGGAGGTGATATATTAGGTTGGGTTGAGTAAGAAGTAACACCGAAGAGTTGCTGAAAAATCTTGAGGGTCAGGCTGGATTTGCATTTCTACTTCCCCGGAGCTCCAGGAAGTTCATGTGCTAACTCATTGTAAATGGTGGTGTTCTTCATTATTGTTGCATACGCACAGTTGGGTAACTGGCACTGTGCTTTCTTCCTCTCTTCACTATGACCTAAGGTTGCTTCTACATTCCTAGTTTTACCCAGGTTATAAAACAGCACAAATAAAGATGGTCTGAGGCACATTGAGAAAGCAGCCTCTTTTCACACCCTCTCTGTAACAAGTGCCATCTTTTGGGGTCTGGTGCGGATAAAGAGTTACTTGGCTTTTCTGCTTTAGAGTTGCAACCACCTTATGTAACCTAGGTAACACACATGAGCACAGATCTAAGCCCTGTGACACAATAGTTACATCATCCTAGGCAAGACCCTAAATCCATCCCTCTAAGGTAGGAGTAACAATGTTCAGAGTATTTTTGACAATTGTAAGATAATGGATATGAAAGTCTTAGGAATACTGTGTTTACTTTGTTCTTTTTAAACTTTTTATCCTGAGTCTTTAGTAAGCCATTGTACTCAACTATTAGTTTAATTTAACTGTTAACATTGGCTTCGCAAAGAAAAAAATCACATTTGGAGGGGAAAAAAATGAAAAGAACTTCACTGCATGAAAATATAGTTATATGAGAAGCAACTTCTTCACTGACAACATTGTCATCACCCTTAATGAAATGTGTGGTATTACTTAGGTTTAAAAAAAGATCTGTAAAATTAGTTCTGGTCTTAAGAGATTCCTTTATATTATCGAGTCCATTTCTCCTACCATCAGAACAGATACACTGAAGTCATTTTTCTGCTATTTGTTGATAGGTACAAGTTGCACAACTGAAGAGCTGGTCTGTCTCAGGCTAGTCAGCCCCATTGTATTTCTTTTTCCTATGGATGAAATGATGTTTAACCTTTAAATTGTGACATTGCACAAAAAATAACAGATGCTGGTAAGGTTGCAGAGAAAAATGAATGCTTACACACTATTGGTGGCAGTGTAAATTATTTCCACCAGTGTGGAAGACAGTGTGGCAATTCCTCAAAGACCTAACAACAGAAATACCATTTGACCCAGCAATCTAATTACTGGGTATATACCCAAGGGAATATAAACCATTCTATTATAAGACACATGCACGTGCATCTTTATTGCAGCACTATTCATAATAGGAAGGACATAGAATCAACCTAAATGTCCATTAATGGTAGACAGGATAAAGAAAATATGGTATATATACACCATGGAATCCCATGCAACCATAAAAAAGAATGAGAACATGTCCTTTGCAGGAATATGGATTAAGCTGGAGGCCATTATCCTTAGCAAACTGACATAGGAACAGAAAACCAAATACTCTATGTTCTCACTTAAAAGTGGGAGTTAAATGATGAGAACACAAGGACACATAGAGGGGGAATAACACTCACTGGGGCCTAATGGAGGGTGAAGAGTTGGAGAATGGAGAGGACCAGTAAAAGTAACTAATGGGTACTAGGCTTAATACCTGAGTGATAATATAATCTGTAAAACAAACCCCCATCACACAAGTTTACTTATATAACAAACTTGCACATGTACCCCTGAACTTAAAATTAAAAATGTTACATTGTACACACTGGGAAAAAAATGGATAGATGTCCTTCTTACTTAAAAAATTACGCGATTCATGCCTGTAATCCCAGAACTTTGGGAGGCCAAAGCAGGTGGATTGCTGAGATCAGGAGTTTGAGACCAGCCTGGCTAACATAGTGAAATCCTGTCTCTACTGAAAATACAAAAATTACCCAGGCATGGTGGCACATGCCTGTAGTCCCAGCTACTCAGGAGACAGGAAAATCGCTTGAACACAGGAGGCAGACATTGCAACAGAGAGCTGAGATCATGACACTGCAGTCCAGCCTGGGCAACAGAGCAAGACTTCATCTCCAAAAAAAAAAAAAAAGAATCCTCTAAGAAATCTGAAATCTGGCATCATCTTGTGTTGGGCATGGGAGTTTCTACCCTGGGAGTCGGAGGGGCTGTAAAGGATGAGGGCAGTCCCGGCAACCAGAGTGATGAGGGAGAAAATCTTAAGTCTTTCTAGACAAGGATGTTGAAGGGCCTTTCAATTTTCAAGCAGGCAAATGTGAGTCTCATTCTTTTCTCAGATTTCCTACTCTCACTTTGCAGTAGCAGTGGATAGTGCTGCTCACAGTGTGAGCCAAGGAGTATATAAAAGTATATATGATTGTCTCTGAAGCCAGTGCAAGTTGAATCCATGGCTCTTTTTATCCTTGTGGTTATAAAATGACTAGAGACCCAGATGATAAATGATGATATAGACAGAAGGATGTCTCCATGGAGATTCCTGAGCACATGACTGCACTTCCTCTGCTTCGCGGTTGGTGGTTAGCTCTGTATTTTGCATTTCTGTGGAAGACTTCATACCCCTGGTGTTCTGATGGACTTTATGAAAAGAGAATAAATTCACTTTATGGCAGTTGCTCTCAAACAGTCCAAAAAATGGGCTGCTAAGATGCCAGCCTGGAAACTGCAGAGTGGTCCTCTCTCCCGCCATGGTATGAGTTTCTGTGTTCATCCCCAAGGCTCTTGCCAAGTTGGGTGATGGGACAGAGGACTTGAGAGCTGCAATTGCCATGGGGGTATGTTGGTTTTTGCCAAAGGGAAAATCATTAATTTTTGAAAATGGCTGTGTCTGGAGATTATTATGAATGAAAGCTAACTGAAATTAAGAAATAAAATGTAAGAGTTAGTTATGAAATAGATGTTTTATGGAGACAGTTAATCTAATGGAATAGAACTTTAAAAGATAAAATTATTTTTAAAAGACATGACAACTTTTTTTTTTTTTTTCAAATTCTGCTTTTTGGTAGGGCACGGTAGCTTACACCTGTAATCC